AGTGTATTTAGAGTTGCTATACTTAGAAAGTCAAAGGATGTACGGATCTTGTAAATAAGAAGACATCTTTTCACTTCGTGTATTGTTACATTGGTGTTCTGTGCTATATTCCTGTCCTTTGCCTTGTGCCGATAAAGAGAATGGGCGAATATTTATGGAAGATTGGAGTTTAAGAATATGGAAGCCCCCTTTGTTAAGCACAGTGATAGAATCATAGGCTCGGAAGAGACTTTGAAGGTCTTGTAGTCCGACCCTCATCAGCTGCAGCTGAATTTCAGATTGTTCCTTTGGGGCTTTGGAACACAGACCAGCCTGAGTTCAAAGAAGATTAGCGCTCCTGACTTGATTTCAGGATTTAATTAATTTCCTCATTCCTTGTTTTTCAGACTAAAAGTTTCCTGCCTATGACATACAGTGTTTATTTCTGGCAGAGTTTGGTAATAAAGTTTTTTAAAGATGCACTTTATTATTTACAGGAATAAGGGCTTTAAACACTGACTTACGCCTACAGTTTCCAGAAATTTTATACATGCTGCACCTGGATTTCTTCTGTATAATTTTTTTTGTTTTTTTGTTCTAACTACAGCCAAAAGTTTCTGAATATCTATGCTTTGAATGTCACATTTCCAGTTTCAGTGTTATTTTTTTCATCATCTTTTAAATTAGTGGATCATTCTGGCCAATGTGTTGAGTTACATCTTTACGTACTTTTGTGTAATTGGGAACATTTTTATACAGTTGCCAAACATTTGCTCACAGTATGTCTTGCTGCTTTTTAGTTTGTCCGACTATATTCAGTGTCTGTGGATTTTGCTCCTGGTTATACCTTTGTATGCTTTTATTTGTGTTTTAATTTGACCCCCCCCCCTTTTTTATCATTTCTTATTCATTTCCAACGTTTTACCATATATTCCTGTTTTATTCCTTGGGTATTCTGTTATTCATGCACAACCCACGCTGTTTTGTACTGGTTAAGACGTGTTTTATTTGTACTTGTATTTTTATTGAGCACATTGCAAAGGCGTCGTTTTTTAAATATTTGATTCAATTTCAGCACCACCCGATTCCAAAACAACTCTTTTTATTATTCACAGTCCCCCCAAAATAGTTTTCCTTGAAATGCATTGGAACTAAGATTCCGGAATAAAATATACATGTGCACCATATTTATTTCATTTTCTTAGTCTGGTGTTTATCCTTTTCTGTGCCTCCCAAAAGCAGGGAAGAAAATAAGTTCAAATGCAACACTCTGTTTTTCTGGAAAATATTTTGCACAAATTATGGAGGAATCCAACTCAAGATATTTTGGATTTCCTTAGCACTATTCAAAAATATTTTCTTCTTATCTAATACTTTTTTTTTTTTAACCTCCAAAGGAAAGTTTTACTGAGAGTTGGGCTCACTTTGTGCCCAGTTTCTCTTCTAGGAAGTATAAACCTGTAAACTTCAAATTGTTTTTTTAATGTAGAAACTTTGGTCCTTATGCTGTTCTTGTAATGTGTGTGTCATTTTTCCCTGATTCAGCACCATCCAGATATTTCTGGACTGCAGTTCCTAGAATTCCTAGTCAGCACAGCTGGGGAATTCTGGGAATTGCCTTCTGAACATTTTAAAGTGTCCCAAGTCAGGGAAGGCTGGTCCCAGAAAATCTGCATCGATTTGCCTTCGAGGGCCACATCTGCTGCATCACACTTTTATTCTGCAATTTCTCTGATTCTTGGATTCACTCGATGTGGCTGAATGCTATTTGTATTGCTTTTGACAGGAAATCAAAGTTAATGGACAATGACTGGACTGAGCCCACAAAATTAATCCACAGGAGGGCTGGATCTTGAATGTGGGTCTCACAAGGCCAAATTTCCTCACCCTCCTGGCTGGCCAGGAACCCTTAAGCCAATAAACCACCAGGAACAGATTTCTTCCAATAGCAAACACGAATATGCAAATGGTTCCACTTGATTAAAAAAATAAGAGCACGTAAAATGTGCAATGACACCAAGTGAAGACTTCAAAATACGGTTCTTGGAAAAGCAGAGGAACACATTTTTGCCCCTTTGGGGGAAAACAGTTAAGGCTTCGATCACTCAGTGTCAACTTTTGTCACTGCAACTGGCAACATTTCCATCTTGAGAAAGGGAAGCACCAGCGAAGCCAGGATCTTTTGAGGAAGAAAGACCAAGCAAGGACCAGATCCTATTCAAAATCCTCCATTAATACATTTGCAGCTGAAGGCGGGTGTCAAAGCAATTCATGCCTTCAATCCTGCTCAAAGGGAAACCTGAGAAAGGGGCAAGGCCATCCAGCTTGGTGCCCAACAGCCTGCCTACAAATGGCTTCTAGGGGCCACGGGGGAAGATGACCGTCTTACTGCAACCCCCTTTCTTGGTGGGGATGGGGGGGAACCTGGGAACTAAGCAAAGATGCTTGCCAGCTCCACAGATGTACAAAAGAGAGAAAGAGCCCATTAAAGCCACATCCAGCACCCCAGAAGAAAAGCTCCTCATCTGGAAAGGGGTGGAGGGGAAAAGAGACCCATTGGAGGGTGCGGAGAGAAACAACCGTTTTTAAGCAAGGAGCAATCTCTGCAGAAAAGCCACCAGAGCTGGGAATTTGGACCAGATTTTGCCTCTCAGGCGCTGGACTTCTCAATTCTTCCAGAGCCAAAAACAGGATTAAAGCAATTTGCTAGTGGCAGAGGATGCAAGAAAGCTGTCCCCCACCCCACCCCATCCCTGGCCACAAGCTCTACTGAGTTTGACATCATCTGAGACGGAGGCCATCCTAGGCTTTTCTTCTTCCCTTCTCCCAGGTTGGATGGAGAATATTAAAATGATTAACCACTTTCTCTTAATGTATCATTAACATCCTCCAAGATCTGAGTGCTGGACAACCTCCAAAATTATCGGATGGAGGGTTGGGTTTGAGCGGAGGTAATGAAGCAGAGGGACACAGTGCTTTTTGACACAAGCGCCCTTTGCACAGTGGAGATCCCAGGTGTGCACTGAGCTAGAGGTTTGCCTCGGGGCAGCAGGGACAACGGTCCCTGCAGGGAGGGTCAACGGGGGGAGGGGGCACTGTTTGAGATGGCTTACAAACCAGTGGCTTTTGGAAATAGGGTGCTGTCTGCACACCTTGGGCCAAAGGAAGGAGTTACATTTTGAAGGAAGGACATCTTCTCCAAGTCAAGGTCTACTCTTTGTAATTTCGTGGGCACGTCTGTGAATATGGAAGGGGTTTGCCTCTGCCACTTTGTGGAATGTCTCTTGGACTTCCCAGATTAGTCTACAGCCCTGGGGTTTCCTGAAGGGGATCCCCCCCCCAGTATTAACTAGGTTAACTGGCCCTGCTTAGCTGCTGGAGCTCAAAGTTGGCCAGGTGGTGCTTCCTAGTGGTGCAAAGAGTGGGCAGGCCTTGGTGAAAGATGCAAAATGGATTGAATGCGATCCAAAATTTACCTTCAATTAAAAATCTATTAACAAAATGCAATAGGATTAGCTCCCGTGCACTGGAGATTTTGTCCTTTCTGTCATCTTAAGCTTACCATTCAAGAACTATTTGGGGAGGCAGTGCTGGGGGGGGGGGTGTCCACACCTCCAGATGTCTAATAGGGAGGTAGAAGCAGCTATTCTTCACTTGTTGCTTACTACCAAGCGGTTTACACAGAGCACTGAAACGTTCTGAGTCCTACGCCCTGAAACTCTTCCTCCATTGCATCTTCTTCAGCATCTGAACGTGGGGGAAGGCATTCACCAGACATCTCCAAGCAGCTGTTGACAGTCGTAAGTGCTAGAAACACGCTATTTCTAGAGTGTCCTCTCACGCATAACGCCTGGGATACATTGCTTGTTCTTCATGTGTTAAGATGGGGGGAAAGCGAGAGAAAAGACGACAGACGTAGCCCCCCCCAAGGACACCTCCATGAAGTAGGTTCAGGTGAGGAAGAATGATGGGTCCAAAGTCACCAGGTGAAGATCCCACAGCTGAGACTGAACTTGAACCCAGATCTCCCTGGCCGTGGTCCGGCTCCCTAATCCCTAGTTTCTGAAAACCTAATTATGGATTTATAAACTGATTTAGTCAAGGCGAGCGTAAGCAGTGCAGAAAAGCAACAGCTGCAGCCAACACAATAATGAAACAGAATAATATGCTCTAAAATGTATAATATATAATTGTGGTTGAATATTTACAATGAATATAGCGTTTGTGGCATCAGGGAGCTCTATTGCATACCACACCTGCCTCATGTTAAGGACAATGAAAGGCGAAAATCTCAGAAACTGAATTCTGAGCTCGGAGATGCAGGTTGTATTGCACACATGCAGAATATTACAGAATATTCTGTATTATTACAGAAACAGGAGGCCTTTCTCCTCTGCACATGGTTAATTTATCTCAGATTCTTCTTCCCCAGGATACAGCACAGCCACCACCCTATTTTAGCTCCTATATATTTCATAAAGATAGATCCAAGAAAACACATGGTACCAGAATGGTGCACAAAACTCCATTTATTCATGTATACAAACTTTGCATAGTAAAATCAATGGCAGAATTCCAGTTTCAGGTTGCAGAATTAATGCGAGGTATTTTAATGGGACATTGAAAGGCCATTGCCTTAAAAAAACTGTATTAAAAATGCAGGGAATTACACCAGGTGACCGAGAGTTGTCTTGGCACGGGTCTTTGACTACAACACCCATCGCTCCCAGCCATTTGAAAGGCACCGGGTTGGAGAATATTGCTTAAAAGGGTTGGCAGAGAAGACTTCAATGGCTGGATTCTCACAACAGGTTAAGTCCAAGTAAAAATAGGGTTGGATAGTTCATGAATTGCACAGCTAAGTGGCAACTAGTCTTTTGTTTAAGTAGAAGATTTTTAAAA